TATATATATATATATATCTTTTTTTATTTTGTGTATATATATTGCAAGTGACTTGCTAAATCACAGATCGACTTGTGTATTCAGCGTTCTTTTAACCAGAGAGTAGACTTTGTTTAGCAGAAAATAAAGAAGAGAGAGAAAATTTGGCCCGAAATTCTACCATGGAATCCTTCAGAAATGTCGTATGCGCTTTGAAGGACCGGTATCTACCTTATCACGAAGGTCGTTTGATCTGGCAGGAAGAGATATCCGGTATATTCGCAGATCGTACCATTTTATCATTAGATCAAATGATTTATTCTTCGTTTAATCTTGCTTTACACGCATGTCTATTTCTTTGCTTTTCCAAAACTACTATCGTAGTACGTACAACGCCGTTACTCACTCGCATCATTTCGTATTTCAGATTACAACTTGAAACTACCTCCGTGGTTGTGCCAACCATACGTACGTCATTTTTCAGAAGAAAATATACAAAAGCTAGAACTCGAAAAGATCGAAACGGTTAGCAGTTTCTACTGCGAACAATTTTCTCATTCCCGCGTAAAACGATTGCTCGTTTATTTTGACATTTTTGTTTTTGCAGCAAAGTGAAACGGCTAAGAGGAAATTCAAAGATGAAGAGGGAAATGAAATATCACGGAAACGCATGAAGAAATTGAAACGAATAGCGCGCCGTCCCAACAGGCCCGCTACTATCGTCGTAAAGAGAGGATCCGACTTGTGTTGCGATTGCCCGAATCCAGTGGTTTGCAAAATTTCATTTCAAGCGTAATTTTGTTTCGTTGTAACTCGAACCAAGTTCATTAATCCGGTCGTTACGTTTTCTCTCGCAGAGCCTCAAATGTGTTCATAAATTATGCCGGCAGTGTTGCAGAAACAAATGTTTCACGGAAAATCTGGATTGCGCCGGGCATAGAAATTTAACTAAAACTAGAAGACAAATGGCGATAGAATTTGCCGCGAAACGGAAAACTACTCAAGATGCAATATGACATTGTACGATATTCTAAATTATAAAAATAAAAATTAAATAAACATGTACACGTACCTAATATATATATATATATATATATATACATAAAAAAAACATATATATATATATATATGTATACAACATGATGTTTTACGACTATTGTATTGTAGCTTTTGTACATAACCATTTGTTACAACAACTCGCTATTCACAAATTATACTACAAATTGCTTTATCCCTGTGTATGCAACTTACAACTCGCAACGATTCTAGTCGGTTTAAATTTCAGTGCATTTTATTAGTTACTGAGAAACGTCTATGTGATCGTTTTCATCAACACTGCGTAAATATCGCTTCTTTTTTCTTCGAAATCGATTATTGTATCCTTCTGTTTGTTACTGTTGCTGTACCACTGTTTCTTACTTATGAGCATAAGAATTACGAGGGCAGGCAGATAAATCAGTGAAAAACGAAACAGTTTACGCGAACTTCTGCTATCCGAATATTTGTGAAATTCCCAAGCTAGAAAAGAAAAGACGCAGAGTTATATTTACTTTCTTTCTTTTTCAAAGTGCGAGAAACACACGTGAGAGACACACCGAGGTAGAGAAAATATGCATTAAGTGGCGTTGTTGACAAGGCAAACCACCACTTTGTTACGTCGAAAACAGGTGCCAAGTAGCAAAGACCCATCAACGCAGCGGTATAACGCAATGCCGTTTTGCGGCAAAGCTTTGGATTCGTGACTGCCATCATTCTGTAACCAGCACGCGAATAATCCGGCCTTAAATTCCACGACAAAGCGTTGAAATGAGGAAACTGCCATGCATAGAGTAAGCCAGACATTATCCAAGCACCTGGAGACACTACGTCGCCGACGCAAGATGCCCAACCCATTAATGGCGGTATAGCTCCAACTAGATAACAGCCGATACACGATCCGAGTTGACAGGATGAAAAGTTTCGAAAATGAATATCACGATATATACTTGCCTATGGAACCCACCCAAGTATTTAGAATACTGATACGTTTCATAGGGGTATAAATGAGGGTGTACAAGACCAAATTAGTTGCTCCCAAAAAAGCTGTTAATCCATTGACTTGACTGTACAGTAACGATAATCCACTCAAGCCAGATACTGCTGCAAATATTGCTGCGTGGCCAGGTCTGGTGACAATAGAAATTGCTTTATAAATACAATGTTGCAATTCTAGCTGTTCCTGGTTCCAGTTGGAACCATACGTTACGTACGTTAAATGACCTCTCACCAACACTCTGTTCTTCGTTCTCGACATTTGCGCGTCAAAGGGAACTTCGAAAAATTGATTGATAGCATTTGCCGTGGCTGACAATAATCCAGTGCCCACGGAGCATGCCACGAATGTAAAAGGATCAAAAGGTCCTGGAGCCAATGCGTATCCAGCCATGGTTGTTACAATTACCAAAGCTAAAACAATTATTCCATTCAGCCTTCGTCTTTTTGCTCGACTCAAAGTAAACTATCAAATTGAATGTCAAAGTTACAGTGTGTCTTACATGTTAATCTTATCTTGGACAACATGAAACAATGTTTTCGAAGTTTACTCGAATCTAGTTTTATACACTGCCATTCTTGTTCATCCTTTATATACAAGTTTCTTTGTTTTTCATCGTTCGTTATATCTGCATATTGGGTGGCCTTTCGATGGTCGGGAGACCTAACAAAGTTTGGTGAAATTTTCTGATTTTGGACATTTTTTGTATCTAACAAACAACGATGTTTCTGTGTATAGGGTAACCTCTTTACACTTGACGCAGCCTATGATAATTTATATCAGAGTAATTAACAACTGAAAGCTTACAAAGACAGGGAAAAATCAAGACACGTACTGTGGTGGTGGTGGACAGTTTCAATGATGACAGACACGTGTTACGAAAGATCCTAATTGGACAAAAAATAAATAGCATGATAAAAATATATCGTAGAAAATGGTTACTGTTTCCTTTTTTCCCTCCTGAAAGTACAACAGAGGGATGAATTAATCATCGATGGTAATTCTACGTAACCAATAATTTTGAACGTGACTGAAAGATAGTTGAAATATCTCCAGATTTGTTCGCAAAGTCAAACACATCCACTTACATGATATATTTTCGTTTTTACAATCTATATTTCGCGTTATGTAAGAAAATTTTGAACAACCACACATCACGCCGAAACTTTAAATAATTTTACTAGACTAGTTTTACCAGACTTATTAAGATCTACGCAGAGTCTGCGCTTGCACGAGCAGTTGAATGGAAACTCGTCGTTGTGTTCTGAAGCATTCGAAACAAATCGAATGAAGACAACGAGGTAAAATTCTAAACACATCAACGTATGATTGTGCTCAAGTCCTTGAGAAACGTGTCGAAAAATGCCGAAATATGACAGAATATACGAAAATATGAAATGTAAAAATATAAAACTCCTTGTAAACTTCTTCTTGTAGCGAGTTTCCTTTCTCGTGTAATTGAGCATTCATGATTGAATATTTACGTAGGTGTACATATACTTGTACGAAGTCAGCTGACTGAAAGGAGATTCCACATGTAAAAATGTGGAAAGTTTTTTTCCACGTTAAAACCTTCGTTTTCGAGAAAATCGAATTTGAATCGATTCGTACAAATTGTTGACATTTATGACAGACGTACGTCTAAAAACACATGTACGTATACGCACGACGAGACTGATCGAAAGAAGAAAGAAGAGACGAAATAGCAGGTTAAGAGCAACGAAGAGGGAAAAGCGTAAAACGAAGTACATGGAGAGATGTGATAATGGGTCGAGTCGAGGAGGTTCACGTGCTTGTCGACGAACGGTAGTACGGTAGTACAGCGTTCGCGCTCGTGGTAAGAAGAGCGACAGACAGAGAGAGCTTCACATCGACGAGTGCATTCGAAGAACATATTCTCGGGGGGAGGGAAAAGAAAAAGAAGAAAGTGTGCAATCTTCATGATACCCGCGAACGCGAAACACTGGTCCACTGGTCCACTGGGAAGATAACAAAGTCTCGATTGGTTGTTGGTCGTTGGTGTCGGACGAGAAGAACGGAAGAAGAGGACGGACAGAGAGGAAGAACGAGATGAGGTTATGTTTTCGGTGTACGTTTCACGAGACTTGACGTCTATAAATTGGACGTGTCGGAAGGTGTGAGATTTATTGGAAAGGGGAGAAAGAGAGAGAGAGAGAGAGGGAGTAAAAAGAGAAGAAGCGAGGGGCGATCAAATCGTCATGTCGATGTTCCAGAGTCCGAGAAATGCAATGTTCGCGCGGGTCGGTTCGGCGGTGTTCTACGGGTTGTCCTCGTTCATGATCACCGTCGTGAACAAAACGGTGTTGACATCGTTCGAGTTCCCGTCGTTTCAAATACTCGGCATAGGGCAAATGTTGGCCACCATCGTGTTGCTGTTGGCGGCGAAGAAGCTGCGCTACGTCGAGTTCCCTAACCTAGAAGCGGCAACGTGCGTGAAGATATGGCCGTTGCCGATCATATACATCGGTAACATGATCTTCGGACTGGGGGGGACGAAACAGCTGAGCCTGCCGATGTTCACCGCCCTCAGGCGTTTTAGCATTCTGATGACGATGATCGCCGAGTACTACGTGCTCGGGGTGCGAGCGCGCGTTTCCGTTCAGTTGAGCGTTTACACGATGATCGTTGGGGCAGTGGTGGCGGCGTTGAACGATCTCGCCTTCAACTTGGAAGGCTATCTGTTCATCCTGTTGAACGATCTCTTCACGGCCGCCAACGGCGTCTACATGAAGAAGAAGTTGGACTCGAAGGAGCTAGGAAAATACGGACTGATGTACTACAACTCGTTGTTCATGATCGTCCCGGCGATCAGCGTCGCCTGCTGGCTCGAGGATACGCGTTCGATCGTCGAGTTTCCGCATTGGAACAACGCGTTCTTCCTCGCACAGTTCGGCCTCTCGTGCATCATGGGTTTCATACTGTCCTACAGCATGATACTTTGCACGCTTCACAACTCGGCGCTCACCACCACCATAATCGGATGCTTGAAAAACATATGCGTCACTTACCTCGGAATGATGATCGGCGGCGATTACATTTTCACCTGGCTAAATTTCGTCGGACTGAACTTGAGCGTGGTCGGTAGTTTGGTCTACACGTGGGTGACCTTTCGAAGGAAAGAATTACCCACCGAGCCCAAGTATTTCCCGCTCTCGGACGATCAGCTGAACAAAGTGCAAGCCGTATGATCCCTCCTCCCACCCCATCCCCCTCCGTGCTGTAAAAATTTCTGTAGAGAAACAAATCCTCGTGCCATTGTGCGTCGTCGCCGCGGCTCTTTCTTCTCTTCTCGTCTCTTCTTTTTCTCTCTACCGACTCCGCTCCACTCCGACTGCGCTGTGTGTCTTTTCCTCCGGTAATTAGTTCGAGACGCGAGCGTCGTGCGAACAAGGCGAGACCGAAACGGAAGGAAATGAGAACAGGGAGAGAGCGGCAAGTGTGACATAGTGATAATTATGAATAAATATATTTCGGGGGTTACCGAAAAGTAACGTCGTCGTGTTTTTTTTTCAGTCGAATTTCACAGTACCACGTGCAACATTTTTAAACGGAACTTTTGGACACGGAAAAGATGGTAGTAGCGATAAAACCAAATCACAAGTTGGTTTAAAAATAGATCTTTCTCTAGTATAGATTAAACGAGAAGAACGTTCTCTGTGCTTTCACGTCCGTCGAGAGAATCCTGTAACATTTATACTGCTTGCCTATACGCGTTTCCTGTACGAAAAGTGGTTCGACTGAAGGAAAAAAGGAAAAAACGATGTTAATTTCCGGTAGGCCTTGACGAGATACCGTGTATACCAAAGCGAAAACCGTTATCAGATAAGAGAAGTAAATAAAAAATACGCTGCTGCGCGTGTGTATGCTTACCACGTGTAATTGTACATATTAGATTTGGAGTGTGTGTGTGTGTGTGTGTGTGTGTGTGCGTGCGTGCGTGCGTGCGTGCGTGCGTGCGTGCGTGCGTGCGTGCGTGCGTGTGCGTGTGTGTGTGTGTGTGTGTGTGTGTGGCGTACCAACACGCACGTGTAGAAAAAGTATACTTTACAGTATACAAATAAATTTAATTTCACTGTAAGAGAGAAAAAAAGGAGGAAAGATCGATTCTGATTCGTCAGTTTCAGGCTGGCTGGTTCGAAGAATGTCGAGCGACGCTGCTGGCTGTTGGCCGGCGTCCTCGTTCACGGCGGAGTACGCGAGACACCGCGTGCCCCTGTCGCCGGTGCAACGCGCGATTTTAGCCGCCGGCGCAGCCGCGATTTCGCTCGCGGACCCCTTTCGCGGTGACATGATCGCCTGCTTGGCAGAAACCACCGGCACCGACGCTCTCTCGTACTGCCGGCAGCAAATGCTCGCCACCTCCGAGGGATGCCGCATCCTTGCCGAGAAACCACGCATATCCTCGTCGACGATCGATTTCCCTGCGCTAAAGCGATTGCCGCCAGGAACCCTTGGCAGGATCTATTGCGATTTCCTCGACGTTAACGTAAGGACTCTCTTTCACTCGACTCGAAACGCCATCTCCCTCCTTTCTTTCTTCACTTTCATCTTTTATCCTTTGTGTATCCTTCTCGCGTTTCGCCGTATATATACCAACACCTATATATACAGTAATCGCTAAACTATGAACAATGAAAAACAATGGAAAATTCGGAATAATTCAAACTTTGTAAATTCTAACCTCGACAGTTGCGAATTCTTTGAAGATGATTTTACACGTGACGTGTAGCGGGTGGGAAACTCAAACGTGTGTGTAAAATCATTGAGAAACGAGACCAAGTGATTGATCGCGATTTACGAAGTATGTATTTTAAATCATCGAGAGAACGTGTTAGTCTGTCATTGTCATTCTAACTCTCATTCGTAGAGTTTTCACACGGTAAACTGTATCGTACATCGTACATCTTATTACTAAATTGAAAAACTACTGCTGCTGCT